TATTTATCTAAAAAACTAAAACTATTTAAATGTATTTTAATATTGATTAATTATTTTAAGCTATATAAATATTATCATTTATTTTGTTTACGTTTTTCAAAATGTCTCTGCGAACAACAAACAAAAAGTTGTTTTGCAGCCATAAGTTAACACGAATATAATCCCGCAAATTTGATTTGTCACTCGCTGACTTCCCGGGCGTGACACACCCCTTGAACACTGTGCAACAAAGCAGCAGTTGAAAGGCATACAAGAATAAATAAAAACTGAATGCGGCTCAACAAGCTGGCTTAATGTATTTTAGCGCTAGCGGCGCAAGCATTAAAAACCACACACACATTCACACAAAAGTAAAAGAAAATCTTGAAAAGAAAAGAAAAATAATATAATAAAATGCTAAAATGCTGTCATATGATGCTTCCGAAACACATGTTGACACGCCCAACGCCCACAGCTTTACGTCTACTGCCACGCCCCTGTGCTTTAAGTGAAGTGTAGCTTCAGGTGCTGGCCAGCTGCCATAGTTCGCACGATACTTCAGTTCCAACTGGGAGGGGGCAAGCGTAGGTGTGTGTGTGAATGTGTGAACAACTTTGACTTAGAGCAAAGCGCATTACTGCACATTACAATTACGTAAGCAGCAATTCGCAGAAATTTGTAAAATCATCGAGCAAACAAAGGCATGCGCGCTGTCAATGTGGCATTAGAGGGCGAATATAGCAAGCCAAAAACCTGGACTAAGCCAGCATCAATCATAAATATTTTAAGCTCCAAGCCAGGCTAACAATATGAATGACTCCCTAACTTTGTGCATGTGTCTGTGTGTGTGTCTGGCTAATTGCATTTTGCTGGCCATAAAAGCCAAGACGTAACCCGATAAGCCATGCCCGGCTTATGGCCTTGTCTGTTGGCATTTGTGCACATTTATGAAATTTCACAGCAATTACACAGCGTCATGTAGCCTGCATCGGATTTTGTTGTCAAAGTCATGCAAAGCACATTTCGAACACCTAAAACGCTGCTAAGGCTGCCAGCTCACAGCTGCCAGCAGCCGGCAAAGTAGGCAGCCTACGGGTTTTTGGTGCGTGCGCGTTGCACGCTGCGTATGCGTGATTTTTAATTGCGTTCGCCGCGTGAGCCACAAATCGGCTTCAATGCCAGATAGTTAAAGTGCGCACGCTTTAGGGCCCTCGCATGTCCTGCAACGATTTGTCCAATTATATGAACCGTTCCGCATAAATACGGCTAAATAGCGCATATGAGCGATTTGCACTTGAGATAAACGCCAAAAGGGGTTTTCGCTTTTTATGACTCAATAAACAACTACGGCCACACAGCATTTAAATCAGGAGCGCTACGAATGTAACTGAACGTGGTGGGGTTCATAATAAGAATACTGTAAATAATATAATAAAAATGTTTGAGTAATGTGTGAAATAATATACTACAAAAATAATAATTAATTATGGCTCAAGCAATAAATTTGATATACTTAAAATAATACTCTCATTTAATTGGGTAACTAAATAATAATAATAATAAATAATTAAAAAATCAATGATTTACAATACATAAATCAACTTAAATGACAACAAAATAATATTGAAATGGAACTTTGTATGCTATGATCATTCTATATTTTATATAATAATACAATAATAGCCATAAGAAATAATAAAAAATATAATATTTATTATTTATGATTTTACAAATTTAATAAACCATTTAAAAACTATTAATTCATTTATTTTTTTCACATTTTATTTGAAATAATATTAACATCAATTTTATATAATTTTTGCATAAATTTTCTATTTAGAAGTTGTTTTAAATTCTATTAATGTAAAATATAAATACATGTTATATTTATGAATTTGTTGTATAATCTTATAATCGTGAATATATATGTAATTTTATATATGTAAAAGAAAAAAAATAAGCATTTTAAATATATTATTAGTATTTTTTACAGAACTTGGCTAACATCATAAATTTAGCCAAAAATCTACTAGAACCCTCTCGCTAACTGAAACGCTCCTGGTAGGTCAGCTGTCAGCCAGTGTAAACAATTTTGATTGCCAGCCAATAAAGCGCTCGGTATGTCCAATATGTCAAACTTGGTGTTTGAATGCAATAATCAAAGCCAGCTCTGACCTAACCCACACCGAGTGGACCACACGCGAGCCGGAGAGACAGACAGACCGGCAGGAAGACAGGCCGGGGATAGCAAATCAGTTGCGCTTCGACAATCGTTCCATAAAAATGGACAAGCTGGCAGCTCAGCTCATATTGCGCCCAGCCCGACCCGCTCAGGTGGCTACGCCAACGCCCCAGACGGCTGGGAATGCGACCATGGCGAGGCATATGCAGAGCATCAACAATGATTTCGTCATCGATGTGGTCACACGCATCGACAGTGTCTATCACTTTCACAACCTCCTCTTCTACATATCGGAGAAGCTAAATTTGAATAGTCCGGCCGGTAGCGAATTCTTCAGGAAGTTCTGGAAGCAGTTTCCCCTCGTGCCGCGCATCATCGTGCGAAACAACCGCAGCTCGATCAACACGAACACCACGATAAAGAGCCTGATAAGCACGCCATCTCTGGTGATGGTGTTCACCACACATCACAGCGATCCCATCATGGAAGTCGCCTCGGAGACCCTCAAGGGCATACGCTGGCTGAAGACGATCTTCATTCTGTTTCCATATCTGAGCAGTGCGAACTATCATGAGAGCTTTGAGACGTTTACCCAATTCTCGCAAATATTCCAGGACGTTCTCCGCTGGAGCTGGACCAAACAGTTCACCAACACGCTGCTGCTGACCATCAACGACAACGTCTATCAGCTGAATCCGTATCCCACGCAACACTTTGTGAATAGAACCGAGCACTGGATGGCTCGAGACTTCTTTCAGAAACTCAGCCATAATATGATGGGATATGTGGTGAATACACCGGTGTTCTATGATATGCCACGCGTGTTCAAGGGAGCGGACCAGAGGACGGTCTACGGCACCAGTGGCAAGCTGTTTCTGGGATTCCTCGACTTTGTGAATGCCACGATGCATGACACCTCCGCTAACCTAACCATAACTACCTTCAATCTGCCGTATCTCCTAGAGCTCGTCGGCCAGGGCGTCTATGAGACGCTGATACACACCTACACCGACCTGATCGGGAATTACTCGGTCAGCTTCAGCTATCCGATTGGCATCAACGACTGGTGCCTGATGGTGCCCTACCGCAACGATTCGGTGCAGGAGCTGTATGTACGCGAGGCTCTGCAGGACAACGTCTGGCTGCTGCTATTACTGACGATTCTCTATGTGGGCTTTGGCCTTTGGCTCTGCTCGCCCCAACGGCCGAGGGATCTCAGTGCCATTCTGCTGCAATGCATCCTCAGTCTGATCAACAGTCCGCCCACATCGATAATGCGGACTAGGGACAGGCGCATGCGCTATCTCTATCTGGTGCTCACCATCATGGGCATCGTCGCCTCGAACATGTACATCAGCAAGATGGCCAGCTACTTCACCTCGCCGCCGCCCGTGCGTCAGCTGAATACCCTGCAGGACGTTATCGACGCCAATCTGATCATCTACGTGCAGGACTTTGAGTACAAGTTTCTGGCCCGTAAGAGGGATCAGTACTCGGAGCGCTTTCTTCAACAAGTCGTCGTTGCGGATGCGAGGTTTATTCAGCGGCATCGCGATCTGCTGAACGCAAGCTACGGCTACTTTGTGTCCAGCGATCGCTGGGATCTGATCATGATGCTGCAGAAGCATCTCCGGGTGCCGGTCTTCAGGCTAACGCAAATCTGCTCGGGTCCCTTTTACCACGTTTTCCCCATGCATATGGACTCGCATCTGCAGTCGCCGCTGCAGAACTTTATACTGATTTCCCAGGAATCGGGCCTCAGGCATCACTGGAAGTGGGAGTCCTTCTGGGAGGCACTGTACATGCGCGTCATTCACTTTATAATTCTGCATGAGCAGCCACAGCCACTGAGCATGGCCTTCTTGTCCAGCATGATGCGCACCTGGTGCATGGGTCTTGTCCTAGCTGGCACGGCATTTATCCTGGAGATGAAATGGCATCAGCATGTGATGCAGGCGCATGGCCACAAGCTGTGGCACAAACTGAGAACTGCAGTAAAAAGGCGCCGAAGCTGCAGGAGATGAATGTGGAATAATGTTGAATGTTTGAATTTAGCTAAGGTATCTCTTTATATGTGTATTGATTTATGAAAATTAAATGTTTTTTCTTTATTTGATACTTTAGTTAATGTAAATTAAAATTAGCCTAATATTAAGCACTGGCCACTGAGGCCTTCGGCTTTATATCTTTAATTAAATTTTGTAACTGCTTTAAATTTCATCTTTAGACCCAAGAGTGTACTCCACTTGAAACACAAAATATAAGATATTAAAAAATAAATTTATTAAATGTATTTAAAATTTGTGAAACTTAGACATCCAGTGTCTGGGCTATGAGTCTTTCAACTCCATCTAGTTAAAAATTCAATGAGAGGCTGAGAGGCTTTCAGTATAGATAGCATACTTACCTTTTTAGACTCATTCATGAAATTGAAATGAGTATATTGGTTTTTTCCGTCTGTCCGTCTGTCCATATGAACGCAATCTATTTCGTCGCTATTGAAGCTAGAGACTTGAAATTTGGATTTATAAAGTGTTAAAATTATCCCGATCCGCCTATTAGGCTTTATAAAATTATTCGGCTAAGAAAAAGAAAAGTATTAAGTGCTATTTAGTCAAGCTCGCACCTTCCCGATAAAATATCTATTTTATAAAAAACGAAATATGTATGAAAACAAAAAAACAAAAAAGAAACACCGAAGAGGTTCGAGCCTCCTACTCTAACATTACTCGCGTAGTTGCTAAAATAGAATAGCTTAATAAGAGAGCGTCATCAGACAAAACTACAGTAACGGCTAGAAAGTCCAGAAATCGATCGAAATTCTAAGAATATGAGAAAAGGCACGATTCTGTCTGTACGCATAGAATAGACGATGAGTGTGTGCACACGTATAGGAAAATCGCGCTGATCTGCTGCTAGCTTGAAGCCGGTATCCAATATATGGATATAAATATATATTATTAAANTTTTTTCATATAATCTCTAAGAATGCCTTTTATACTATTGGACACAATCTGCTCTCCTGCTCTTTATTTAATTGTGGCAGCAGTCTGTCATTTTTCATTTGATTGCTCAGAGTTAAATACAAAATTCGATAAATTCATTTGAAATTGACGAAACAATTTACAATCCACTTCAGCGCCCGTTCGACACCCAGCAGTCGGATAATTGGGTTTGAGGTCAACTGAATCTAGTTTCAAATTTAAATTTCATTTCAGCCAAATGCGAAATGCCAAATGAAGCGCGTGAGTTATACAAATTTTGAGGTCAATGGCAAATCAATAATCAAATTTCGCTGAGCGTAATTAAAACTTGAATCTCGTTAGCAGTTCGATGATGAAAACGATGAAGGCCAGAGCCGACATGGTCATCAGCATAATGAATGCTATGGCCAAATGCTGCAGGCCCGCTGATGCGTATTCGTTGTGCTCCTGCAGGCGCTGCACGATGCCCGCACGCAGCGCCGACGCGAAGCTGAGCCGGCCGTAGTAGTTGAGCAGGCCGGCGGAGTGAACACGGAACGTGTAGTACTCGAGGTCGCGCCAGAGCGAGCAGTCGCTCTGTATGGGAAAGGCCAAGTGGAAGGAGCCGAAGCAGATGTCGCTGAACTTGAACTGGCGCTGCTTCAGGTGCCGCTGCTGCGCGTCCAGGAACTGCCAGTTATCCTCGGTGACAAAGTAGGCGAACGAGCTGTTGAACTGCATTCGGTGCTGGGCAAAGACTCCGCTGTCCACGGGGCGCAGCAGTTTGATGAAGCCGGCCGGCAGCTCCTTGTGCAGCTGCAGCAGAAACTCCATCTCGTAATCGATGATCATCACAGGCAGCTGAGCGCGCAGCAGATCGTCCATGGTATTGAGCTGAGCATGGAACAGGTTCACGGTCAAAATGCTGCCCAGGGTAGAGGTGTAGTTGGCCGACAGGAAGAAGCCGTGAAAGAAGACGGCCAGCAGCAGCAGGAAGCGCAGCAGCGAGGGCTGCAGCAGCTGCCTGCCCGTGGATATGTTGATGATGTAGCAGAAGGAGTTCAGCAGCGCTGTGGTCACTCCCGCTGAGCCACGGCCCCTCCTGTGCCCCAGTCGCAGCCACAGCAGCTCCAGACAACTGAGCAGCACAAAGGCGGCCAGCACAAAGAACCAAACGGTCGTGTCGAAGGGCTGCAGCGCATAGAAGTAGGTGGAGACGCTGTTGTAGAGCGGCACCATCAAGCACCAGGGCACCACCAGCAGGGGATAGCTCTTCTCCAGGTCGTCGTCCGGCATGAACAAGGCGTAGGCATGGGCCACGAACTGCACCTGTCGATCCCTCACCAGCTGCAGCGTTTGCTTCATGTTGACTGCGCGACCTCCGAGCGCGTCTGGCGGCATTTCCAGCTCCTTGAAACTCCCGTTGAGGTGCTCCACAAAGGTGCTTAGGATGCGATAGAAGCTGCCCTCGTAGCGGTCACCCACTCGGAACAGATTCGGCGCATCTTCGCGCATGGGCGTGGCAAAGCGATAGCCGCCCACATCGTGAACGGCACTCATCACCTGGCTCATCTTGGTCCTCAAGAACTTCTGCAGGTCGGTGCGATTCTCGATCTCGTACGATGGATATTGATTTGCGCCGTACATCTGATTGATGCCGTCAATCGATTCGAAGTACAATAGCGAATTCTCAAATTGATTGTCGTAGAAGAACTGGCAGATCTCGTAGATGTCCTCCATGTTCGCCACCTTCCCCATCATCATGAAGACGGCGAGGTAGAAGTGCTTACCCCGCAGCACCTTGTTGGTCACCTCCATGATGGGATCGTGCAGGCCCGTGGTGAAGATCACGGTCATCTGGTTGCGCCTGACCGCCGAGTGGGTCATTCGCATATCCGAGTTGTTGACAACAACGACTTGGGATAAGGCAAACGCATCGTGATGCAGGCGAATGAATTGTTCCATGTCGTCCCTCTGCTCGTTGTCCAGCTGCTGGCTAACGAACCAGACCAGATCCTGGAACGCAGCCATCCGATTAATGCCGATTAGCAGTTTGCTAATGTATGTGCTGTTCCAGCCACAGCTCCATGGCAATGGCAGCACAATTAAAACGATAAGCCAGCGGGGCGAGTACATAACTGCGAAGCGTTCACGTTGCGTATGCGTAATGTCTGCGTTTAGTTAGCCTTTATAGCGTCCTAAATGCCTAAATGCCTTTGACTATTGCTCAAGGGATTACATTCCCCGCTTTGACGAACATCACAATTAAACAAGGTCATTTCTCGATGCTTATCTTAAATATCCATAACATTTGACATAATAATTGAGCAACTGAACAAACGACTCAAGGGTGCGGGCTCTTGCATTTATACCTCCTTATGAATAGGTTTAATTAAACCAACATAAACTGATTTGTTGTTATGCCATCATAATATTGTTTTTTGTCGAGGTTACCTGCGAACAATCATTATTAGAGAGCAGCAAAAATAGTCAGAGCTATTTCGATGCGTAAAATCATTATTTGAATATGTCAACCTATATTATTATATAATAAGTACATATTTAAATATAATTTTAAAATCATTTTCGATCTAGTCATCATAATCCGAATAATCGTAAGCCTAATTGTTTTTCTCATAACGACCATTTTATTTATGACTCTGACTTTATAATATTAACATTTTATCATAATAACAGTCGCGAATCAGCATGAAATTTCCCAATGAAATCGTGCCTCATAATTATGGTAATCATATTATAGAAAATTGTTTATACAATAATTTTGAAAATATATATTCAGTTTCTCATTATATATGCTGAACTTCCCCCTGCAAGCAACTGTTGCTCTGCCCGTCCATCCAACGGCTCCACAGATGCTCCAAGAGGTAGACCACTGAACACAGGGGCAAGCCACCGATGATCACAATCCATGCCGTGTTGAAGAACTCCAGATTCAAGGGCTCCACGGGATACGTGTCCAGGAATATCTTTGCGATGTTCGCACGCAACGCAAAGACGAAGGCCATGTCCTCCCAATAGTCCCACAGACCAGATTCCCTTATGTAGAACATGGTACGATCTAGTTGGTCGGCAAAGGGCGCATCCCGTTGCAAGGGAAAGGCGTTGAAGAGTCCCCCAAAGCAGACTCGAGACATGTGGAAATACGGCTGGATGAGCACGCTCTGCTGTCGGTTCCAGAACTCCCACGCATTCTGGGTGACCACATAGGCATATTCGCGAGACGGATTCACCATGAGCTGCTGAAAGTCGTGGAACTCGCGTGGCTCGAACTGGGCGTCTAGTGAGGAGATATTTACTACGGGTAAGGTGCGCAGCTCCTCCAGCAGCGTGTCCGGTATGATAATGCGCACCCTCGACTCTATCAGATCCAACCACGTATCGATTGGCTTTACGAACACCGGCTTCATGTCGAAGGAGGTCATGTGGCTTATGTGGTAATTGGACAGTATGAAGCCCTGTGTGTAGAGCAGCGTGTAGAAGATGAGCATACGGAACGGCGGCTGGTAGAGCTGCACCGGCATATTCATATTCGGGCTGTACATGATGATGCCCATGGCGTGAAGCAGGTTGCGCGTGTAGGAGCGAGTGGCTGCCTCGCCGTGGTGCACGTAGCGCAGAAGCAGCGCCACATAGAAGATGGCCAGGAAGAGCGTGGCCCAGACGTACTTGCCCAATGGCCAGACCATGTACATCCACTTGGGCAGCTCCGGCGCCAAGGGCACCATCACGCAGTACTTCGTCACCTCGATGGGGTAGCTGTATGCTGTGATGCTCGAAGTGGGATCCTCCAATGTGCTCCTTATGCCCACGCCGTGCACAGATGTATTATACTCTCCTTGGGCAATCTGCTGGAGCAGCAGCGACTTCTTCGTCATATTTTCCACATGCTCCAGCTGCAGCTTATAGTTAAATCTCTCGGCAAAGGTCTCCAAGGAGCGCAGATATGGGCCACAGTATAGAGTCTCTCCAGTCACTTCATCGGTATATATAAAAGCGAGCGGTATTTCCGAGCTGAAGGGCGTATAAATGTTATCCTGCAT